GTGTGTGTGTGTGTGTGTGTGTGTGTGTAGAAGAGCAGCCAATGGTACTAAGATAGCTCAGGCTCTAGCACCAAATGACAGGTTCTCCTCAAGAAAGGGCGGTGGGGGCAGAAAGGAGCAAGGAGATGGGGTAGAAGAAAGAGGAGGAGGGAGAGGTAAAGATAAAGAGACTTCTCAACACACTGCTGCAATGTTTGAAACTTATCTGGATCTAAATTCAAGAAAAAAGGTTGAAAAAAAAAGGTATGAGACAATCAGGGTAATTTGAACACTGACTAGATAGTGAGAAATTATTAATTTTTTAAAATGTGATAATGGTATTATGACTTTTTAAAAATTGCCCTATTTTTAGAGATAAAACCTGAAACAATTATGGATGAAATCCAGAAGTAGTGATGCTGACAGAGAAACAGGACTGGCTATGAGCTAATACTGCTGAAGCTAGCTGATGGGTACATGGAAGCCTGCTATACTAAACTTTTGTATATGTTTCAAAGCTTGCATAATAAAAATTTTAAAACGTCACTCAACAGCAGTTCAAGAAGGTAGATGATACAGTGGAAGCATGCAGACTCTGGAGCCAGAACTCCTTGGTTCCAGTCCTGGTCTGCCACATAGGACATAAGACATTGGCATTGGACATTGGTCACTGAACCTCTTCGAGCCCCAGATTCTTCTTCTAAAAAATGAAAAGTAGCATCCACTCAAGAGGTGATGGTCAAGAGATGATGTATATGCCCTTTGCAATCTCTGGTGCATGGAAAACGGTCAGTGCATGATGGTGGTCAAGGTCATGACTGAGACCCCGGCAAGGCCATGGAACTGTACCTTGGATCCATTGAGGATGTAGTACTTCTTATCTTCACTTAACGTAGCCCTGGTCTGGATGGAGGCAGCATCACTCCCACTGGGGTGACAGAAGTAGACAGTTGAAGAGAGTAATACTGAGAATCAAAGAGAATGGTTTGGAGGGCCCAAAAATGTAGGATTTTACTTCAATACAGGAGTTGGAAAATTTTTAAAATAAAGGGCTAGACTATATGTATATTCAACTTTGCAGGCTACAAGCTATCTGTCCCAACTCTTCAATTCTGTCACTATGGCATGAAGGCAGCCACAGACAATTTGTAAACAAACAAGAACATTCCAGTAACAATGTCTTTACAAAAAGAGATAGCAGGCTGAATTTGGTCGACCCTGCTTTATCACATCAGATAAAAAGGTGGCAGTGGAAACTTGGGCTTAGGTTTAAACACAGAAATGTATGCTTAGAACAGGTTCATCTGAGCTCTTATGGGGATGAGTTCAGGGCATCCCAGATTCCTAAGAGCAGGGAAAATGGAATGGAGTCCAAGTAACAGACTTGCCATCAGAAGTCCTGAGTCCTGCACCAACCTAGGTGCATGACCCTGGGCGGATCACACAACCTCAATGAACCTCAGTCCCTAATCTGTAAAATGGGGATACTACCAGCCACCCTATATACTCTGAAAGTTGCTCTGAAGTCTGAAAGCATATCGTATGTCGGGTGTGTTGCAAACCACAAAATAATTACTTAATAGGTGCTGTCAGGTATGTTACCTCATTTATAAATCTCATTGGGACAGAGAAGTAAGGTAAAAATAAGAGAACTGGCAAGAAAGTTGTTTAGCTGACTCTTAGAAGATCTCAGAGAGGGAAGAAATAAAAGTCACCACCTATTCAGCAAAAACCACAGCCTCTCATCACAGTGCACCCCGTAGATACTATTCCATGGCACCTCCCACCAAGGGGCAGACCTGGCTGGCTCTGTCAAGCAGAAGGCAGCAATATGTTCTCCAGATGCCAGTCTGGGCAGGTATTTGGCTTTCTGCTCCTTGCTACCAGCCAAGATGATCCCCTAAACAAGACACACACAGGCTGATTTAAGCTGTAGGGAGAGAAGAGTGTGTGACATGTGCTTATAGAACATGGCTTCTTCTGAAGGAAATACTTCATACAAGAGGAAACACCCTAACTTAGAGCTGGCAGCTACACGTAAAAAGTAGGGAGCTGCTGGGAAGGATGGGGAGCCAGACTGCTAAGGAGCTACCCCAAAGTGCACATTCCAGGGAAGTCTGGGCCTGGAGGCCTAGCAGAGATTTGGGGTCAGACTCAGGGATGTTTATCACAGCTCCTCTGTTTCCTGGCTAGGTGGCCATGAGTAAGGGATGCCCCTTCTCTGAGTCTCCATCTCCTCATGTACACAGGGAATAATCCTACCCACTGGAAGGGTGGTTTGGATGAGAAAACATGAAGACATGGGAATGCTAGAGCAACCCTTGACATAAAGAAGATGCTCAATGTCAGAACTGTCCTACCCCCTTCTCAGTGCCAATGAGAA